AAATAAATTATGATTAAATAATGTTAATAACAATGATTATTAACATTAATAGCAATTATTATTTATGTAATTGACTTATTATTGCCAGCAATTATTCTAATTGCTTTGCACATTTGAATAGATATAATAATCCTCACTAAAAAACCTGTTAAGTATTATTATTACTGAGCCTTTGATAAATGAGGAAACTGATGCACAGGGAGAGAAAATAACTTGACCAAGGTAACACAGCTAGTAAGTAGCACAGCGTGGACTAGAAGCCATGAAGTCTGACTCTAGAGTCTATTATGCTATACTGCCTTTCATGGAGATTTAAGATATAAAATAATATGCCATCACCTACAAACAACTTAAAGAACAATTAATAACATGAGTAAATAACACACGTGCTAAGTGAAAAAAGGAAGATACAAAGCTCATACGGTAGCACAAAAGTCACGCATCATGATCCCAATTCCGTCTCAGAAAAGTATATAAATGTATGCATTAAAAAAGACAGGAAGGAAAATTCATAAAATTTCAATAGTGAATATCTCTAAGTGATGAAATTACAGATGACTTTTCATTATATTTTTGAGTATTTCTAAACCTGTATTTCTGTTATAAGAATGAGAAAAGCACATTCTAATTTTATCAAAAGGAAGAATATATCCCCAAACCCATTAATATTTCCTTTTAGCTATAACAAAGGACGTTTACTGCTTCAACAGAAATAAACATTTACTTTCATTTGTATATACTTTGTGTTGCCGCCCCAAATAAAATAGAATTCAATATTTTTATGTATTCAAAAATAACAATAAAGAACAATAAAGGACAAGATCAAAGTTGCTGCAAAAAGAATCTAACTTTTTGTTTAGATGAATAAAAATGATCTGCCATAACATAGGGCACTGAAGTATAGACTCAGATCCCTTATACCCTCTTAACTCTATTTATAGTAACAAGGAAGTGCCTATAATGTAGCACAAAACGCTAATAGTACATAATATATATAACCTTTTTAAACACCAAGACTAACTCTAATAAAAATCTGAAAGTATCTAAGCCCCTGCTCCTTAAAGTAAAAAATTTAAAAGCCTCCAAATCATATTTCTGCTTAATAATGCAGAGCTGTTATAAACCGCTTAATAAAAAGGGTAATAGGGTACGGCCCGATTTAAGACTTTTTCTAGAGCTGACCACATTTTCGAGTTAATAAGTTCTGTAGTAAAGCAGATTATCTCAAAGAATACCTTCTTTGTCAATCTTGCACAGCAATGAAACAAAAGGAAACCTTAGGAAAAAATCAATTCACACATCACTTTTTAAACCTCTAATGCATTAATGAAATTAAGAAAGTCTTAAATTCATCAGAGGAATACCATCTGATATTTACATATTTTATATTTTAAACATAGATATAAACTTGTCCTCATTTCTTGTCTATAACAGTTATCTTTTACATGAAAATTTTATGTAATTTTATATATACTTTTTCAAAGCCATTCCTCACCACTGACCACCAATTTCATACACAGAAAAAAAACACACGTAAGTTTTCCTTCTTTACCAGACCTTATCTAGAACATTTCCTCTGAGATGAGCTACATACTAAGAGTTTAATTATCAACTATACAGGCATTACATCAATTTATTAGTCTTAATTTACAAGAGGAAGCTGAGATTAACATAAAAACTGAGAAGCGATTGCCAAGTTTTATAGAAAAAGCCTAATAGATCTAAGAACTTTAAGGCTACCCGGATTCAGTCTCCCGGGTGACTCATCTGGGCACTAAGCAGAGCTTGTTTTATTAAGTATAACTGCAATTTAATTCAGAATATAGTAGGAAATCACCTGCAAACAAATGAGTCCACTAAAACTGATGAAAAGGAAATTAACCTTTAAGATGTGGTTAAAAAAAATATGTTACACTGAAAGACTTGAGAAATTCTTAGATAGTAATTGCCTTTTTAAAGATGTTAACTTCAAAACTTATCACTTACATCATTTGAACCTTTTTTTTTTGCATGAAGTCTATAAATGAGAAAATCACCCAAATTTTTCCAACCAGGTTCTAAGTTATATACTTATAATTCAGTTTTTTAAAATTAACTATGATTAACAATTATGCCTGAGTATGTACGATGAAAATATTTTCTTCAGCTGAAAAAGCTACTAATAAAATCCATAAAACAGCATCTTCAGTGAATTTTTCCACCATGTCTAATGTTACCTGGTAACCTTGAAATGCTAGTTAAAATTCAACAGAGAAATAAGGTTTCTCAGGGTTTAATATAGGAAATGGATGTGGTTATCTAGTATGACACCACAAAGTAAAGATGGAGAAACAGTTAAGAAAACTACCTAGGCTTAGAATTAAACAGTGCCTGGTTGCAAGTTTCCTTTAATCCAAAAAAGCTATACCTTTGCTTAAACAACCAATTATAATCTATACATGTGTACAGATGCAAACATTTATATACACTCAAACATACACATGTACGAATGTGTGTATATATATATGAATGTTTTATATAAATGTATTATGTATATATATACATTTTCACATGTATAGATTTGTACATTTAAAAAATTTTCATCTGAAGAAGCTAAATTTAGAAACAATCCTTTTTAAATATTCCATACTTTTAGGGAATATCATGACTAACTTTATTAAGATTTTATTTATTTATGTGAGAAAGAGAATGAGAGAGAGAGAGCATGAGCGGGGTGAGGGGCAGAAGGAGAAGCAGACTCCCCACTGGGCAGGGAGCCTGATGCGGGGCTCGATCCCGGAACTCCAGGATCATGACCTGAGCAGAAGGCAGACACTTAACCAACTGAGCCACCCAGGCGCCCCAATATCATGACTAACTTTAACATCTGAGTACTCAAATTCATTTACCCAAAATAACCTTACCACTGTTAATTATAATCATGTAGAAATTAAACCATGCAACAAAAATATTCTAGTGGAATATATTATAAAAATCAGTGTCTCTACAATTCCTTTAAGTTCAACTGCAGCCCGTTTTCAGGATCTTTTTTGGCCAACTTCATTTGATATGGAACAGGTATACACTGTCCACGGTTGCTTGGTTTGTGCTCATTATCACAATACATTCAATTTGGCAGCATCCAGCTACCACAGGTCAATAACTAGCTACCAGAAGGCAGGTAAGAAAAAAATCCGGGGCGCCTGGGTGGCTCAGTTGGTTAAGCGACTGCCTTCGGCTCAGGTCATGATCCTGGAGTCCCGGGATCGAGTCCCGCATCAGGCTCCCTGCTCAGCAGGGAGTCTGCTTCTCCCTCTGACCCTCTTCCCTCTCTCGCGCTCTCTCTCATTCTCTCTCTCTCAAATAAATAAATAAAATCTTTAAAAAAAAAAAAAAAAAAAGAAAAAAATCCGTATTTCAAGACAACATCCTGAATATTCACCCACAGATGCTAACGTCACCTCCAGACTTCATCTTCAGAACTGTGTAGAGAATTCACATGTACCTATTTTCAATAATCTGCAGTGCATTGAAGATGGGATTTTACAATGAAGGTTCTCTTAGCAAGTTTTTCAAGTAAATTAGGTTTTTATAGAGGAAAATCATCTACTGCATCATTTTATGCTCCATTTGACAGAAGTCTAAAAATCCAAAACAGATAAAAATTAAGCCTTTTATTTTAGCAAATCTGCTACCACAGACCCAATGGGCAATGATGACGGTCACTATAATTTTATATGCACAAACTGACAAATCCTCTGTTCCAAAGACTTTGGGGGTTATGAGAGAAATAGTGATAGAAAGACATTAACTGAATATATTTGCAACTAAAAAAAGTATCAATATTTTAACTCAAAGCAAGTAACTAAACTGAGGACCCTCCTAATAAACTCCCTTGCTTTTCCAAATTACAAACGCAAACACAAAAGTACTCTAAAATTTAAATGTTTTGTTGTCTTCTCTTTTTATTTTGAAATCACTATATATGCTAATGTTATAAATATCTTAGTGACCATTTTCAGGTTTCTCTAAGATTTGCTAAAGATAATTATTGTCATCAATATGCATATTTAATACTTGTTAACTCTCTGGAACTAATAAGGATTTTTACAAAATGAGAAGAGTCAACAAATAGCACATGAAACCGGGCACCTTACACCACACATCCTTCTAGCCAAAGTGTCAAGTGGATTATCATCTTTATAAATGAAACAGTTATAAACATGGATTAACAAAATCACGGTGAGCAAATGTAATGCTTTCAACTGTGTTTTTTAATAAAATTTTCTTCATTGTATTAACTTAAATTGTTATTAATCTGCATTCTGAACACAAGAAAGATAGATTATACAGAGAAACAGAAGACCAAAGCAGTAATAAATACTGTCTTTAAGGTACAAAACAGGTATTTGAGTGGATATTAGTAACTTATATTTATAGATGTAGTAAAAGGAAAAAGAAAAAACTTGATGAAGTTATTGATATTAGTGTAGAGCCATGGCACCCTCAGAGTACTGCATTTAGGATTATAGTAAGTCTATTTCAGGTGACAGACATTGAAGTGAAATATAGAATACCCAAAAGAAAGATTCTGTAGTAATACACCATTAGAAAGTATTTATGCTTTTCATGAAGCACATGCAGTGAATTCAAAGAAATTAAGGTTTAATCAAAATAACTTTTAAAACATCAACATTTCCCCTCATGGTATAAGTGCCAAGGAATAACAGAATTGCCCGAATCATTATAAGAGAACGCTAAAGCATAAACATTTATTAATACTTTTTTAACTACCTATCAGTAATAGACATGCTAAAAAAAATGCAGAATAAATGTTGAGAGAAAAACAGAAAATGGGAAAGCAAGTCAAATTTTCCTCACACACTGGACATATCCTATAAAAAGTGCTCTTATGCATAGTTCCAAATGGAGCTATCTCACAAAAGAAGCGCAATCATTGTTACCCATTATGTGCTGCATTATAGTTTTGTTATCACCAAGATTACATAAGGCCTGCATACCAAGTTCATCGTGCAAACTGCTGCCGCCTACAGCAGATGCATTGTCATGTGAGGCTTCTAAGTGGATACTCCCATTTCTCACCAGCAAGGACGCACTAGCACTGAGCACTGCAGCCTGGGAAGGGGGGCGGGACTGGACTTTGACCTGGGCTGTGGACTGCTGGCCTTGCTGACCATCTTGAAGGCTAGGAAAAAAGATGGATTGGGGAGACATTACAGGGAAGAAAAGAAAAAACAATAGCTAGAATGAAGTCAACATAGAAAACTGATTTCGAAATGTAACCTGATTTTTTCAGTGTAACCTAAGAAAGAGCTAACAAACTTTGTAAAATATACAGATTATAATGGTGTCTTAAATCTTCTGGTCCTTAGAACATAGTGATGAACACAGCAAATGTTTAATGTATATCTAAGCTAATCAATCTGTGACTTTTTCCCACTGCAAGCCAACAAAATTCTAGTACAAGGACAAAGAAAGCAGCAAAGAAACACAAGCACATTAAATATATGTGGGTTGTAGCTGGTCCCCAACAGATAAATCCTCTTGTTCAGTTTAAATATGCACTTTTATTTATAACCTTTATAATAATTCTAGAATTCTGCTTTCAAATATTCTGGCATCTCAAACTCGCAAGAAAACAAAGTTTTTATGCACTTGAAAACCAAAGAAATCTTTATCAAATGCAACCAAGGTGACAATTTTGAATCAAAAGAAAATCACAAACTAGTGTAAGAGAAACAGAGTAACAAACACCAACTCAACCAAGTGAAATACAAATGATGCTGGGATGCTAGAAGTGTGATTAATTTATAAAGTTTTTTTTTTCTATGAAACGCCTACATATTTTTTAAAGAAGGCCACAGGCTCTATATACATGTTACTGCCTTCTCCAATCCATTTCATTGTTTCATTAACAAGGACCCATCATTTTAGAAAATCTTAAAAGTAATTTGGAAACCAGTAATTTCTCAAGGGATATTACAGTCTTTTTTAAATCTTACAGATTTTTAAAATACTTCGTATTTTATTAGAAGTTTGTCATTTATTAAATTTATAAAAATCACCTAAATATCTAAAAATCTATAATTAAGAAAGTATTATATTCTTAACTCATTTTATATTTTAGATGTTTATTTTAAAATACTATGAATTTTAATGTTCTTAGTATAAAACTCAAATTTAAAGTGATGAAACTCATGGAAATATTTTCAGTATAATTATTATATGTCATTCTCTACATGATACTCAAAGTAACTCTGCATTTTGTTATTAAATTAGACCTTTTAGGAAAAAAAAAGAAAATGCTGCTTAAGATGGCCTCATTCAGTTACTTTATCATTTTCTTGAGTATCAACTTCTTTTTAATGTTTTGAATTCAATGCATTGGTTTCTGTGATGCCTATAAAACAAACTCATCTGCACAGACTATGAAAAGAGCTGTAATGTGAAGTAACCATGAATAAAAGACTACGTAGAAAATATTGCTTATGTTGCTTAAGCCTGTGGTTATAGCAACAGAATCCACTCTGGAATTACACTGTCTGATATGGTAACCACATGTGACCACCTCAACTCAAATTTTAGTTCCTCAGTCCCACTAAGCACATTGCAAGTGCTCAACAGCCACATAAAGTAGCTAGCGGCTACCATAGCTAAAAGCTACCAGAGAGCAGCTAGTAACAAGTGCCCACCACACTGGACAGTGTGAATTAGATATTTCCACCACCATAGAACGTTCTATTACCCATCACTACCTGGAACATTCACATTTCAGGCTTCTTTTAGAGCCAAAGAAAAGTATACACTCTAAGTAGAGCAGGGGAATGTATAGAACACATGAAAAAAACCAAGTCCACACAATGTTGACTTGTCGATGCTTACTTGCATTATTTTTTTAAGTCATAACTATGAAAGTATTCATTTAATAACTTCTTTGGAGCAGAATCTCTGTACAATCAACATAAATCAAGGGATGATCTTGGGAACTAATATAATCAAATATGGTTGTATCTTCCATATATACATAGTAAGTCTGTTACTCTTCCTCAAAATCTACCTAAAGGTATCCACAAACCTTACAAAAATGACCAAATTTCACAAGGGGGAAAATTCTGATAAATAAAATGTTTTAAGTAGTTCAAATACTAGGTCCCTTCTGATTTGGAAGACATTAAGAATTTTATACAATAAGTACTCAACAAATTTTTCTATCCTTTTTTGTTTTCACTTAAAGTCAAAAAGGTGCTATATGACAGATGTATTTTAATGTGAACACATTTGAGAATACAGTAATCCTCAACATATCCAAATATACAAAAAGGTTTTTAAAATATCAGGCAATGCATGGAAATCAATTCCAGAATAAGAGAAACCAAGGAAACAAGTGAAAATCTATCTGGCCGTCAAGTTTTGAACATCAAAAGCTAGTCATAAATGTTATGTCCCTTCAATTCCTGTTTTCAGAATCCTTCAACAAAAAAGCCTGTCATTTCTGCAGAAGTTGGTAGGAAAACTACTCCTGGTGGGTTGTACTTTACCTAACTAATAATTGACAGGAACTAATATTTTTTAAAGTACCAATTATCTATCTATCAAAACTACCAGTTTGAGAAAAGGTAGAAACTATTTTACAACATAGCAAAAGGAAAGGTAGAAATTTAGGTCTAATTATTGGCTATCAATAGCATCACTGACATGCAATCTTACTAATTAACATTTCCAATTTAAACAGCAGAAAAAATATAGCTGGTCTTGGTCTTTCCTTCCTCTGTACTACTTATTTAGTATTCAGCACACTCTGTCTTATATTGTTGTTTTTGTATGTGTCTCCACAACTAAGAAATAAACCCTAAGAGTATGACTGCATTACTCTTATGAATCTCCAGATTCCAGAGAACACTCAAAAGATTGTTTTAAACACAGTACACAAACAACAAATATTTGGTGGATTTATTCCTGAGCACCACAAAATGATCCCTATGAATTTCTAACCAGGGACTGTTGTAACTACTATGACCTTATTTGATTACAGATCTTTCATCTTATAATACTTAAAAAAATAAACATAGGAATACAATAAAGCTTTTTTCCCTTCCCCAAAATGTACTAATTTCTTTTCATTCCAGTCCATTAACTAGAGTACTAAAAGATATCATATTTGGGTTGATAAAAACAGATAAATATGGAACTCTTAGTTTTATAAAATTTTTTAAATATTAATCTCTGCTTTTATCTCTAGTAACTGAGAAGAACTGGCAAGGGCCTATAAAACCTACGTACAAGGCTAACTTAATGAAAAAAAAAACCTTCAAAACTAATTCTGAAATAGGACTTCTAACAATTATAAAAAAAGATTTGCAAATTCCCTTTGTGAAGAAATTTATGATTCACTCACAACCCTTGGAGACACATATTTTACCAAGTTGCTTTTGATTGTCAAATACTTAAACTATTCATTAAAGTTTAAAATAAGTTAGTACATTTTACTGGTATTTACATAACTGTAATTAAATTATTATCACTCCTATTCCATTTCCTTTGGACAAATAAGTTTTTCAAGTTTTCCATGACCATGCCATCCATATTTAAAGATGAGATTATTATGTAACTCAAGCTGAGAATTTACTACCTAAATTTTTTTGCAATTAAAAAAAGATTTTATCAAATTGGTATTTCTCTTAATTCCTCTAAGCTAAATTTTATCTTATTTCATCCATAATGAAGTCAGCCTATTTAAGATACATGCAAACTTTATACTGGAAATATCCTGGAACCATAATAAAATCTACATGCTGACTACTAGACTGCTTTAGAAAACTTTTAACGTGAGCCCTTTACAAATAAGCTTCATACCATATCCTCAGTTGACTGGTGATATATTTAAAATCCTACAAAATTCTACATAATTGGCTAGAGTTAGAACATAGTTCTTTAATATTCCACCAGGCAAAGAAAAAAAGTAATTTGTCTGCATTTGTTTGGTGAGTGGGATCCAGCAGGCTCATTTGTGGCAAAGAATGAAAAGATTTGTAAAGACTAAAAGGAGAAAGTTAAAAAAAGGATTAAGAAATATCAATATGGAGTAAGAAAGCAAACATGGCTATGGCCAAGTATTATTCAAGGGGCAAAATGAAGCGGTTAGAAAAAAACAAAACAAAAAGTAAACTGAAATGCTGAGCTCTTTCTGCAGGTTGGGACTAGACCCCCCAATCCAGCTGCAGAAGGAAAAATTACTTCAAGGAGCAAAGGAAAAGAGGTGAAGGGCATGTAGAGGAGGAAGGTTCACAAAAAGCAACAGTGCTCAGAAATCTAGACCAGATATTTTTCTAACTGGTGCCCTCCCATTTTTATATTTTAAATGTTGGTTTAACTAATCCACACTACTTTTTACAGAATTATGTATTACTGCAGGATTAATTAGGAACATGACCGACAAAAGATGAAGTTCCTGATTGTAATGTAAAATGCAGAAAAGCAAGTCTTAAATCCCAGGGGAATATAAAAGTAAACATTTTGTTACTCTCAAGAACAAGATTTTACCAAGGGCAGAGGTTTGGCTCTTCTAATCTATTGTGCATTCAACAGCAGTTATGTCATCAAATGCTCTTCCTTTTGAATTTCAAATTAAAATGTAGGAAAATAATTTGGTAATGGTGTTTTTCAACACAGAAATTAATAAAAGTATATGGTATAATATATGCACTGCTTAAGCAAGCACATGTAAAACATTTTGTCCGTATTTGTATTTGTAAAATAAAGGACAATCTTTTGTCTCATAAGACACACTTGAGAACAAAACACTAAAATTTTAATGGAAAACTATTCCCAATATTATAAATAGATGTTTTCTTAATTAGGAGTATCAGGAAAAGTAAAAATGTTTTTCTTCAGTGCTATATAGAAGTTGAGAAACTCAACATAGATATATGCAAATATATAGATATATACCCACTTGACCATACTTTACCATAAGTGGAATATTTTAGTTCCTTGTCATGTACCAGGTCCTAGTGATTATGAAATAAAGGACACCAATTTTTAAGCAATACAAAATACATATTTTAGTGAAATAAAATAATCAAGCTGGCTTATCAAGCTGAGGCCAGTTATCTGTGTTCCTCAACAAGCTCACTGCTCAATCCATATTTATTCCTATTAAATTGTCAAGACGCTGGGGAAAAGATGCTGCATTAATATTAATTTGGAGTAGAAAAAAAATGAAAAGCTGACTTAAGGCCTCTAAAGTAATTCTGCTATTTAAAATCGGCTAAACCAATCTGATCATTTTGTTGGAATAGTGCAACATAACGCATGCATAATGCAACAGGCTCATGGTGACATGCAGAGAAAGCTCCAAGAACTTACAACTACAGGAGAGAAACCAGAGGGCAGAGAACAAGCTATCTGAATGCTTTCTTGGGACTGGGACAGAACAAGTCAGAAGGTGTGTTACATGCATGCTAAGCTTGGTGGAATTTTAAAATACCATACCTTAGGGGTGATCCGATGAGCAATGCGGGAGGGGTAGGGTTACTCCCTGCATTGTGCCGGCGCCGCACTGCCTGGCGCCTAAATGTGCTGCGTTCACGGCGGAATGACACTGTCTCCTCGCTGGCCTGCGCCGCTGCATCAAGACAGACTTAGGTCAAATCAGAGCCTAGGTCACAGATGGAAACAGCAGCGGAGCCTGCCTCTCCCCTGACTTCCCACCCTCAAAGGTAAAGGGAACTCGTCTAGTTGAGCCAACAGTTTCCACACAGATGCTGTTCATCTATCGTATAAAGGAATACACAAAACGTATGTGTCATTTATTTAAAGAGAATTGTTTCTTTAAAAATGCTTTTACTATATCTGGCCTCACTACCTACTCTTCAATCTTAATTCCCTATTTTAATATCTCTGTTGCTTCAAATCTTTTTCTAAAAGCCTCAATTTGGTCCCATAATCCTATTTCCCCCCCCTTTAAGTCAACCCAAATGTACAGTATTTGTTAGTTCCAACTGACAGGAATGGGGCATTACTTTCTCACTTTCAAGAGGACAGTACAAGCAAGCAATAATAATACTTCCTTTTTGATGCTGAGGAGTAAGGCGGTCGTTTATCCCACACTGCCGTATGCCACAACTTTGGCAGCTTTTTAAATGTTTAATTCAAGACAGCATGAATATATCTTAACAGTAAGGTAGTCTGCTCCCATCAAACTGTCGTCACCTCTACGCCCCAGCACAGGTCCCCTCAACATTAGGAAGCAAGTATCAGCAAGATGACAAGTACAGAAGCCCACAGTTTAATCCAAAAGCAATAAAGTAACTAAAACCAAATATACAACAATGACAGAATCACAACAATGGCTTATTAGAATTATGTAAAATTTTATAAAACCATTCTAATGGACTGATTTCAGTTTCTAAAACAAAATGCAAAATGATGCTTATTATCTGAATTTAAAACAACTGTTTCCTAGTGATCTAAATATTCTAGGAATGATCTTGACTATGACAAAGGGTATTTTCATACCAAATATGAATAAAGACAAAACAACTTAGTATAACAGCATTCTTTCCAAACACTTTTTTTCTATTCAGTATAAAAAGGATTACAAATCCAAGAATGTTGTATTCAGATTTCAGTTCTGTTGCAAACTTTCTGGACATTTTAAAAGCATAGTTACTAATTCTCAAATCATTATTCTGCTTAGCAATATACATTTCCACCAATGTGAATATTGATTTTAATAAACAAAGTATGCTTTTTAATATTTACATTTTTTATCCCTTCCCCAGACTGCACCAGTGAACATTCTTTATGTAATGAATCTATTATGATTAGGAATGTACGCACTACCTCCAGAAGGCATAGTGTTTCTGTGTAGGCACTGTTCTCTTTTATGGCAGGAATGACAAGCACAGTTATTGCACCCATTCGGCAAGCTTCTGCCAGTAAGTGGTAGAAGTCACAAATTACAGGACACTTACTTACATATTTTATTTTTCAGCTCATACACTACAGTGACATTCTGAAGTTAGGCAACTAAATAAGAATTAGGCTTTGGGGCTTTGGCTCCAAATCGGACTTGACCCCGTGAGCTAGTATTTCTTTCCTTTTCTTTTTTTTTTCTCTCCAGTTTTACTGAGATATAATGAAAATTCCTTTAAATGTGAAAAAGGTTACTTGTGAGAGCTCACACATGCAAAAATTATATATGACCTGTGAGAACAAATGATCATTAGACCTGGTCATCTAGAACTGTGGTGTCCAACATAGTAGCCACTAGCCATATGTGGCTATTTAAACTTAAATTAATTAAAATTAAATTAAATTAAAAATTCAGTTTATCAGATTCATGAACCACACGCAAGTGCTAAGTACCTGCCTAGTGGCTACGATTATTGGGGCAATACAAATAGAGAATATTTCCAACATCACAGGAAGTTGTATTGGACAGTGCTGATCTAGAAATTCAAGGACGCCTTCCCGTCACCACAACCTACAAAGCATATTGTGTGCTTAGCCTACTCTTGACAACTGTGACCTCAATAAAAGGAAACTGCAACCAGCATCGTCACAAAGGAGAAAACATACTAGCAGGGCAGTCATTGGATAAAGGATAAAACAAAGCACACAAGCTACTTGCAGGAAGACATGCAAACTTAGATAAGTGACTGGTATTCCTATTAATGGCTCTTAGACATCAGCAAGGTTAACTCAGGTTATGGAATTTAAAATTACTCTTTCAAAACTCAAGACATTTTGTGACCTTATACTGAAGATTTCTATTCTAGTGTAACAAACTACTGCTCAATTTGTAGGTCCATTAACTTCATTAAGGAACTTATACACATTCTCTCTAGTTTTAGATACCTAGTTTAGATAATTTTATTCTTTATCTAAGATATAATTTATGAAGAATAATTTAATCCATGAAATGTACTAAAATTACTCTGAAGGACATACTTACAATCACTGAATACTATGAATAAAAGAAGGGAAATAGGAAACTGTTTTCTTTACTATCTTCTTTCTACTGAAGACTTAATGGTGTGAATTTTAAGTAAAAGCCAGTTATTCCATAATACCAAGATGAAAACACAAACTACAGTGTCCATTTATAGTCAAAATGTTCCTTGGCTTCTTCACAAAACAATTTTCTCTCTCTTTTTTTTTTTTGCTATTATCACACCATTTATATTTTGTCATCTGCAAAAGAACTACATAATACTACTTACTCTCTTAACCAAATAGTTTTGGAAACAGTTCAAGATGAAAGTTCAGACATCTATTGAACAATGTATTAAGATGGAGTTATGATTATTGCCTATGTTGTCCTTGTAATATTCAGGGTATAAATATCAAATGCTAAAAGAATTTTCAATGTTTACTATAGCAACTACTTTAACAGCAGCTAGGATCACACATTCAACTGAAAACACTATGCCATAGTTTATGGTCACAACAAATAAGACTAAACCATGCCCCCTGAGGAATGTACTACTTATACCGAACATCTCTATTTAGAATAGGATCCAGAAGGGGTCCAGTTCTACTAGTGCCAAGGAAAGAAAAGTGTCTTTACAGCTTAAAATATATTTGCTCTAAGCATATTCTTAAAAATAATTTCCTGTAAGAAAAGTGTCTTTAAAGCTTAAAATAATTTGCTGTAAGCACAGTCACATAAGTTAAAGTCACTTGATGAAAATTCACTTCTACAACCCAATTTAACAAACTTTTTGAATCCTTTAAATTTATAAGAGAAAGAAAACAAAGCACACAAAAAAACCTTCGAACTAGGGAACCAGACAGGAGGGATAAAACACATTAAAACTTGGTTCTGAAGTTGACATTTTGACATTGCTTAAAGCCTAGTACCTCCTGGCAAAATAATGAAATTAACTAGAATAATAAGAGCATGAAATACAAATAGTGAAAATTTAACACTCTGGGTACAACTAAATTTAAAACATGCAGGTAAAGGAGAAAAAAGAAACACAAACATTTATTTAACTGATTAAAAAACCATAAATAACAAGACAGCTTTAAAAAGACTTTCAAGGACATATATTTAGACAATTGGGAATCTTTTAACGTATATTTTTAAAATCACAAATCATTTCTTTGTGTTAGAAAACTTCAAGAAACTGAATTACAAGCACAACAAGTTTAAGAGAGAACCTTGGATCATTTAGCTCTTTACTTCTGAGGAAGTAAAATAATCATTTGATTAAGTTTAAACATTTACCGGGGGCCTAAAGGCTATTCATGCACAAGGCAAAGGGATCCTAAGATCTTTTAGAGAGCTGTGTGATCTGATCTATTCCTAAAGATCAAATAAAAAACACAGTACACACCTCCCACTTCAGGAGTTACTTCCCATTTACCTAAATGAGTTAAGGACAATTCGCTAAATTCTGTATTGAATTGTTTTAGTGCAACTATTTATTTTTATACTGGGGATACTGAAACAATAGACTATCAGTTTGTTTTACCCTGTGAATGAAAACAGGAAAAGTATTAAAGGCAACAAGTACTTTCAGGATGGCAGGGAGGTACAAAAGAGCAAAATGTTGGGAGGTAGGAAGTGAGGGTTATCCATATTCTATCTCAAACACTGGAAAGTTGTAAGCATAAGTATGTACAGAAAAAGACACCACTTGAAAACATGTCAATCATATAGCTGACTGCTTAGTGCAAGGGTTCAAATGTAGTACGTTCTGTCTAGTTGCTGTATATACAGTCATGTCTGGCCTCTTATGATAGCTGAGTTGCTATTAAATGAATACAAATTTAGACAAAACTACTCAAGAAAGGTGTTATTTTCAGTGGGGACTGTTTATTATAGGAAAAAGTAAATTTGGGACAATTGTGAAAATAAAAAAGTTAGATTTTGGTACCTCAAACAGATTAGAAGCAAAATGGTATTAGGAAATGAGACTTTGGGGGAGGAGCAAGATGGCGGAGGAGTAGGAGACCTAAATTTCGTCTGGTCCCAGGAATTCAGCTACATAGGGATCAAACCAGTCTGCACACCTACAAACTCAACAGGAGATCAAAGAAAAGGAAATGAGAATTTAAAGAGAGACAAAAATATAAACAAGTATATATACATCTCGGAAAAATAAAATATATACGCAGACATCCTGAAATACACTGAAATATTCTTTAAGGTAAAACTATTTTACTTAATATAAAGTTACTACATGAAGAAATACACATTCAAATGACTTTACAAAAAAAAATTTTCAAAAAAATAGTTTAAGTCTAGGCATGAAACCCGTTTGATCTAAACATCTTTTCCCCTTCTTACTTTCCATGTGAGCCAAGGATGATGCTAACACCAGCATGCCAAGATTTTGTTCTAAAATAAAAACAAATATTCATCAGTGTCATTTTCTGGGAGGCTAAAGAACACTGAGAATCTACTGCACAACCTCGAAGCATTCATTCCGAATTAAAACAATTTCAAACTGCAAACACATTTTAAAGGACTACTTTACTTTTTGACAAGTAAGCCAACAAACAGCAACCAACGACAAAGGATTAGCTGAGTCAGAGAGATTTGCATGTCCTATTGATATCTTCCACAATCCCAGGCAGCCAACAAATACAGGTAGGTAGACAAAATGCTTTCAAGAAATCAAACCATACTCTGGAGTCGTAATACACAACAGTTCCTAAAAGCCACAGTTTCAGGATCACTTACCTTCAGAGGTGACTCCTAATGTTTTTTAATCCTTTGTAAACGGGATGAAAGATACAGACCCTCTCCCAGAAAACTGCACTCAGAAACTATTTTGCATATATTTTCAGAGATGCACCTAAGAAGGGGTCATTAGTGAAGAATATATATTTGAAGTGACATCTATTTGAAGAGGGAAATTTCCTTAACAAATGATTAAAAGGCATCAGTGTCTTAGTTTTCATAATAAACCTACCATTTACAGAGCAGTTTTACAAATCTAAGTTCACGAGAGTCTGACAGTTACGGTGACACAGACCTAGACAGTTATTATTCCTGTTTTACAACTGAGGAAACTGAGGGACAGATTTACTGACTTGCCTAGAGTATCCAGTTAGTAATTAGAGATGGGATTAAAATGTAACTGTTTGATTCCTTATCCAGAACTTTTCTGCTACTAGAAAGAAAAATACCGTAACGTCTGCTCCTATTATACTTAATCAGGCATGAGCTGGATTGGGGAATTCTATACACTAACCCTTATTTGCCTCATCAATAAAATACCTTTTCTTGGGGCGCCTGGGTGGCTCAGTCGTTGAGCGTCTGCCTTCAGCTCAGGTCATGATCCCAGGGTCCTGGGATTGAGCCCCGCATCGGGCTCCCTGCTCGGCGAGAGGCCTGCTTCTCCCTCTCCCACTCCCCCTGCTTGTGTTCCTGCTCTTGCTATCTCTCTCTGTCAAAAAAATAAATAAAATTTAAAAAAAAAAAAATACCTTTTCTTCATACCGTTTTAAGAGAAGGTAATATTTCCAAGTAAATGAAGCATCCCAGTCTGTTTACTACACTGAATGAGCATCCTTCTCTGTTTTATATGCCTAAGCTTTCTTCTCCATATAGATTAATATAACCTTTTCCCTGAATCAGGGTCAGTTGCATATACATTTATTACTGCATTGTACTACAATACAGCATTCAGTTATGATCCCACAATGTCCTTTGTACACTATCAAATTAAAAAGACAATTTGCCCCTGCATTTAATGACCCACCCTGTTTGTGTGGTCAGTCCAGCTTCTCCTTTCATATTAACAACACATTTCTGCTGCTGTCATTACTTCAGCCTTTCCAAGCACCAATTCCCTTCTACTCATTTGCTGCTTCTAACTTGCCACGTGGACTGAGGGATCAGAAAATTAATGTATTAGAATTTAGAGTCCCTCTATTTAGGAAAGTACAAAAGCTTTAATTCTCACGTTCTTGTCTATTCAGTGGTCTTTCTAAGGTTCAATGATATCTGCGTTCAAATAACTGACCTTCAATTTACACACATGGCACAAACCCTCATAAATTTGAGATTTGGTTTTTCTTTGAATAAAGTGATATTCCCATAACAAAAGATTATCTTTGGTTCCCAACACAAAAATAATAATAGAATCCTATGACATGCTTACAGAATAGGGACCCAAACATTACATTTAAAATAATTTTCTCAAACAGAAAAACAGAGGTTAAGAAATTCAGAAAAAAATTACAAAGAATAGAGTAAATATAAACCTTTCCATTCTGGTTGTTCTTTATAATCTCTTGAAACATGCAGTAAATTAAGGGATGCAAAAGAAAATGGTTTTTTAAAAGTAGTATAGGCTACAAAACATGACATTTTTCTACCATACAGAACTTATCTGTATTTTTTCCTTTAAATATTAGGCATCAATTATTAAAGACATGCTTTATAATTATAAAAGAAAAATTAAATGCAAAAGAGATCAACAACAGAAAATGCCTTAGTTTACATCTAAAACTTTTTTCCTAACTAAACAGGAAAACTGATGAAATCCAATTTTAACTGAAGTACTTGATTACTGGTGAGAACTCCTATGAAAACAATCACATGTGACTCAGTATCCAAAGGTAAGTTACAGGGCATACTGTTGCCAAAATAAGATTAAAATCCATATTACTCGATTAGATATTAATGTTTTTCTGTTGGTATTATGTAAGAAATCTGGAATACCGATATTCGTATTTTTACTATAGTCGAGTTTCACAACGGCCTGATTAGAAATATCTAATATACTTCTAAATTTAATTATTTTCTTCCACCTGAAGGACAGCATACACCTGAGTAGTGTAAGAGACTGGTCTGTATAACAGAAATAGTAGCACTATTAAGCATTTCCTACGTGCCAGGCATTTTACATCTGGAAATTCCTTCCATCCTCACAGCAACCCTGTGAGATGAGAAGGCTGACGCTTCAAGAAGATAAGCAGCTTTCCTACAGCGGAGCCCGTAAATACGGGCAAGGGTGTCCGAGTTCGTGTCATCATGTTAGATCACCTCCTGTTTTAGAGTATTTGATTTTAGTACTTTAGAGTACATTTTCTGGATTTCATCCTTCCACACTGCCAATACCGTACAGCTTAAAAATAGAACAAAATCACTGGAGAACTCATCAACACCTCCAAGTTCATTAGAATAAAATCTATTTATGGTTTATGTATGGCCATATGAATGGTGAAACAGTATCCTGTTTTGTTGACAGTATGCTATGTAGGTATCTCCTAAAGTGCCAGAAAGGACTGTAGCAATTAATGCTAATATAAGCAAATCTTTACCAGTTATTTGACATTTTATATAATTTTTAATACCCCCTCACTACCTCCAATCTTCCAAAAAGCCCAAACAAAACCCTAATAAAATGTAATAAAAACCAACTAAATATAAATCCTCCACATATTTAAGCAGTTTAGTTTTACTCTTATTTCATTCTAAACACAAATGAAACTCAAATAAAAACAGCCCCTACAATGTTCTTCCTTTGGCAAAAAATATTTTTTTTTACCAGCCCACAGACTATCACGTTTATTCCATCAAAGTACGTGGAAATTTTTAGTTCATTATCTGTTTCTTATTAACATTCAATGAGTTGTTTTTTAAAAATAAGAACACAAACAAAAGAAGACAAAACCTGGAATCTGGAAAGACAAGGGCTTTGTGTTAGTCAAAGATCTGCACCAAGAAGCAAATAAAACCTTCCATGTAACTTTTCCTAAAAATCAGATCACCTCATATTCCCTGTGAAAAGGAAATGACATTTTAAATACAAAGACATAAGGACTTACTATAGCTCTTGTCCGTATTTTTTTAGTATTTAAATTTCCGTAGTATTTAGAACAGCAGTATTTTTCTACCATAGCATGTTAATTCTTACAATTTATTTTAATGACACCTTGAAAAATTAAACTGTATTTTAAAACCCAATGGTTTCTTACATGTCGTGCACATTTCTGGTATGATTTGTGTGAGAAATCACTAAAAGCATTTCAAGACTTTTTATAAAAAACAGAATGATAGCCACATCAAAGATTCAAGGGAATGTAATTACTACATTGTCACCAAATGGTTATAATCACTTCAGATATAATTAGTTCTCAATATTTAAGTTTGATAGAATGTTTTCTTCTTTAGGTACTAAAGATCATTTTTTTTACATTCCCATCAGAAATTAATCTTTATTAGAAACGATACCAAAGGAAACAAGAGAATGTTTACAAGACATAAGCTTGAATACAGGGAATGGGGGTGGAAGATAAGAAAGCTAGGAAGCCAGCAACAGAAGACGTGAAAATTCTTCTGAGCCTACTCAAGAACCAGATTCCATAATAACCACAACAGAATGAACTCGCTATTCTGGGTAGGAGGAAACAGCAAGAAACAATTCTGAAATAAACAAAATGGCCAAAACACACTGACAATATAAAATCAGCCACTGAATTTTGCACCATTTCCCATAAACCTCAATTAAATAAGCTATTACTTTAACCAAAACACCATCACTGTTATCATAGGGAGCATCATGTATCCACGGATGGATACTAAATGCCAATATAAACTACAAACATCAATTTAATAAACTTTAAGTGTGACGCTAAAAGAAAAAATATGTTAATGCCTGATACTTGAGTAAGCAAGAAAGAAAACCGAAGAGACATATAAAAAAGAGGCACAACCTTTCAAAGTACATAGCGAGAGATAAAGTAATATTTCGAAAAATCTTATATAACTGATTGAGTGATGTAATTCTGAAGGCTCAGTGGTACACACTGTATGCGAGATGACTAAAAATGGTTTGTGACCTAATAAATGTCCACATTTTGTTGTCGCTACTGTTTTACAAAGAAGAGAACCAACTTTTGTTATTCTCGGTAAAACATTAGGAGATGGCAATTGACTTAGAAAAACCCAAGGCCAAGAAAGAATTGATATATTCCAATAACAAAATTGAAAAAATATTTTCTCAGTGTTCATACCAAAACCTTTTCTGAGACAACCATCTCTTTCTACGTGGAAGAAAGTTTATTTTAATAACATAGTGGAAGGAGGGATAGTAACACAAAGCATATTTTAGTAAGTACTACTCTAATCAATAGTATCAACAATTGCAGTGACTCTTGGAGAAATCTCTTCCTGTAATTTACTTACCTCCACTGCCTGCATCTTGCTCTTCGCCTTCAGGAAATGCAACCTGGCTTGGCAAGCTATTCCTCGACCGAGTGACTGTCTCTAACTGGGAAGCCCGGCCCAATAAAGATAGCTCATCTAGCACCTCTCCCTCTTTGGCCTCAAGATCTGATTTTGAAGTGGTTAAGGGTTTTATACTCTCGGGTGCCATCAGCCTATGGGAGTCATTCAAACACGCTACCGTGCCACTGTCCAGGCTCAACACCCGGGCCCGGGTCTTGGCACTGTTTGTGCTGGAAGTCCGACGTGCTGTCCGCTTTTTGCCTGTTCCTTCAGGACCCAGATGGGCTTTGTGTGCATGCTCAGAGTCAGTGCCCCTTTCTTTCGGGACGTGTTTGGTCTTGAGGGCACTGTATCTGCCCTCGGGAGACTGGCATGAATGAGGGGTGGTGCTAGAAGAGCTATCACTGCTGAACTGGTGGGCGGACTGAACACTGGATGCTCTGCTCAAGTCGCTTTGGTCGCTAGAGTCCTCGTCGTGGCAGAAGACAGCACTATGTGGCTTTGTACCAGCAACACCTCGAAAGGAAACATAGTCCCTATGCCGACTTGAATCAAAACTGCTGGCCCGTTTTTTTCCTGTCCGTCTCCGGCCTGATTTATGGGCAGAGGCTGTCCGGTGGATCAAGCTAGACGATTTAGGTCGTACATCCCCTTCCTTTTGCTTTCCACCACTGTCTTTAGCAACTTTTGAGTCCACTGAAACAGCGGACTTCTCACTCTGCTCCTCTTTGTTTTCGGCAGTTTTCTCGAGTGGTCTGTCCCCCTGTGACGTGAATTCATTTGCATGGGGATTTTTATTGGCTTCTTCAGATGCAGAGGTGCTGAGATCTCTCTGATTGTGCATATCATCGGAGGTATTGGAATCCTTGGCCTCTTGAACCCCACTGTTGGTACTTCCTTCCAAGGCAGTCTTTTCACTGCTAGTCCTTTTGTCAGTGGTACAGCTGCTCTTGCCCTCTGGGTCAGCACAGCCCTCTCTCTTCCTACCACTTTTCTTTCCTACTCTAGGAGACTCCTCATGCTCTGACAAGATGCTCTCTATGTGAGTTGAGCTGGTCTGCTCACTTTTGTAGCTACTGACAGTACTGTTGGTGTCCCGGTCCGTTCCACTGCAATAGCTCTCTGTCGACCCACTACTCCGTGTGCTCAGGCTCCTCAGGCTATCCATGCTTTTGTCTGCTTTCAAAGGTTTGCTCTTCCCACTTTTTGTAGGTGGCTGAGAACTACTGTTTTTCAGCTCACCAACAAGCTGAAATTCTCCAGACAAACAAGAATTTTCCACCAAGGATTCTTTGGATCCAGAATGAGGCTTAGAAGATTCTAACTCACTAACTGGATCTAACCCCCGTCTTTGCTGATAGAGAGGGAAGTCATTCAGTGAAGTGTCTGGAAAAGCCACAGCAGAGCTAGAAGTCCGTGGTACACCTCGTGGCCGGTGATCTTTCCTGTAAGAGTGTGAATGTAAAGGGACGAGAGAAGCTACTTCTGTGTCACAGGCGTTGGACAGAGACTGATCAATGTGGTGGTGGTGGCTGTGACTTGGCAAGCTCACTTTGTCATTGAAGTCCCTTGGTAAGTCCTGTCCACAGGAAGATAAGGAAGGCTGAATGGAGATGAAGGAATCATTGGAGACTAGACGGAAGAGCTTCCGATCAGTTGCCAGATCTGTTTCAAACACATATTTGGAAATGTTAACACAAATCTATCATCTGCTTTTCTACTGTTTAACAATGGAAAGAACTCACAGCATTCGGTAAATCAAGGAAAAGCAATTTCCCGAGTAGTTCACTGAATAAAAGTTGGCCAGTCATTCCAAAGAGCGAGTTTCTATTTCACAGCTGCACAAAGAAAGCATTCTATTGACAGAATGAACTGAACTTCTAAATCCTCGAATGACCACAGAAAAGGTTCCATAGACTATCAACAATAAGAGGCAACATAGGATTATATTTAAAACAGTCCTGGATTTTTTCTTTCTTAAAGATTTTATTTGAAGTAATCTCTACACCCAACGTGGGGTCTGAACTTACAATGCCAAGATCAAGAGTCGCATGCTCCACCGATTGAGCCAGCCCCACGCCCCATAAAGCGGCCCTGGATTTTTATGTGAAGTCTGTCTCTAACTTACTAACTGCATAGCCCTGGGTTACCTTTGCAAGCCTCGGTTTCCTTATCTATAAAATAGGATCTCAGTATCACTAGGTAGTCCCATGAAAAAACTGAGTTAGTGTGCTTTAGCATATACATTGCTTAGCACAATGCCTGACATGATTAACAGCAGCTATCACTGTTTTACTTCACTAACACAATACAAAAACTTTTTTGAAAACTAATGTGATTATCTTACAAATAAAAAAAAACAAACCCTAGAGTAATTTGAAACAGGAAAAAAATTTGAAAGGCTGAACAATCCCCAAAGAAGACATGATATAATGATTGTAAGATCTTGCTGTTCACAGTGACCGAAAACATTAAAATAGTTGTGAAGCAAAATACTGCATTTTCTCTTTCATCATTCATACAACAAGTACAAACTACCTCATGAAAATATACATTATCCCTGTATACCTAATAAGACCATTCCTTTACCCCTCCACTTAGGGCAGTGATTAGTGACTTGAATTACCATATGTACTATGTATACAGATATAAATAAATCCACCTAATTATCTACATTGTAATTTATCTTGAAATACACCTTTGCAACTGAACTGTACAACGCTGACTTTTTATATACTTTTTGACAGACAGGGATGGCTGAATCCGCTGTTAGTTCAATAAAAAGAAAAATGACTATTTTATTTGTTATAACTGCAATACTAAAAAATACAGTGATAGATTCTGCAGTTAAGTCAGATCTCCCCAGGAGAATCTCAATAATAAAAGCATAACGTTCCCCCTAAGATTAATATAAGATAAAAATGAATCACTAGAAATGTGTATGTACTTTTAAAAAAATCTAAATCTAGACTAGATTTAAATAATTAAAAACTTAGAAACAGCCTCTAGAATATACCATATAAATTGATTTATAAATGACCTAGCAGGCTCTATCTTATGTTTTAAAGTCTTCAACATTAGTAAAATTCATGTTCTTTATCATTTGTCCAAAACAGCTGCCACTGTACTTGGATTCTTAGATCTCTAAATACCAAAATTTAAAAGTTAGCACTATATTTACTCTTTTGTAATATTAAATTATATAAATATTAAATTTAACAGTTATTTATAAAAACTCTCTCTATATCTCTAATAAGCAATTAGAAATAGTGTGATAGGGGCGCCTGGGTGGCTCAGATGGTTAAGCATCTGCCTTCGGCTCAGGTCGTGATCCCAGGGTCCTGGGATCGAGCCCCACATTGGGTTCCTGGCTCAGCAGGGAGCCTGCTTCTCCCTCTCCCTCTGTCTCTCCCCCTGCTCATGCTCTCTCTCTCTCTCTGTGTCTCAAATGAATAAAATCTTAAAAAAAAAAAAAAAATAGTGTGATATTCACATTTCAAAGTTATGAACTTTATAGAACAAAAACTTAACTGAACAAGTAACTGAAAATCACTAATTCTAATATACAAGACTTTTTTAAAAATGCTAATAATCAAAACCAATTCCCTTCTAAGACATCAATAAACCATAAATATAAGTTGTTCATTTAAAAAGACACAGCCAAACTTACTTTAATACATGTACTTTTTTCAATGTTGCTAACTATACCATAAAAAAATAAAATCTTATCAGGAAGAACCTTAGGTGGTTTTAGGAAATTTTCAAGTAAATATGCTTGCTTAGACATTTTTCTTACTGGTAGCAATACAGTCAAAGATAGGCTCAAATCAACACAAAGAGATACTATTTTTCATAAGTAAACTTTTTTTCAAAGACTGCTACCAGTGGCATTTAGGATAAGAAAGGCACGCTCACATACTGCTCATCCTGGTGCAAAGTGGTGTAACCAGCAATCCAGCAATATGGCCAAAAGACTTCCAAAAATATACTCACCCATGATCAGTAATCTGTATCTAGAAGTTGCTGCTAAAGGATAAATTCAGGTATGTATATAAGGTTTTAGCAAGAAAATGTTCATTTCAGATTATTATAAAACTCAAAACCTAGAAAGTATGAAAATGTCCAATAAAAAAAGGTTGAATAAATCAGACTATTAAAATATCACGCAGGCACTAAAAATGTTTCAAAAATCACATATTAATATGAGAAAAAATAAGTGAAAATGATGGTACTATATAAAAATTACGGTTCCAATCTGTAAGAGTTAAAAAGAAAATATTAAGAGTGTATTTGCAGGGACGCCTGGGTGGCTCAGTTGGTTAAGCGGCTGCCTTCAGCTCAGGTGACAATCCCAGGGTCCTGGGATCAAGTCCCACATTGAGCTCCCTGCTCAGCGGGAAGCCTGCTTCTCTCTCTCCCTCTGCCTGCAGCTCCCCCTGCTTGTGCTCTCTCTCTCACTATCTCTCTCTCTGTCAAATAAATAAATAAAATCTTATAAAAAAGGAAGAGTGAATATTATAGTATATGAATTATATCACAATACAAAAATAATTTTAAAAAGTGATGTACCAAAAACATTGTTACTTCAGTGCCAAAAGTGTGAATTATTTTCTTCATATTAACTATTTTTTCTAAAATTAACATATGTTACTTTCATAAACAAAAACCACATTTCCTCCTCTCTTCTGGATCATCTCCATCAATTATTAAAAAAAAGCTGTTCTCTTACGCATTCCTATAAAATCCCAAACTCTCCTTTATCCTCCCTTCCCTGTTGGCTTTCACCTTGCATCTCTGATCCCCTTTACACAAATTCACCAAGAACAGTCTGTATTCCCTCTTTTCAGCTCTCCTCCTCTAATTCTCTCCTACAAGTATTGTGATCCCCCTCATGAATATGCTTATCAAGGTCACCAACAACCTCTGTGCTGCTAATCCCGTGGCAAGTCTCAGTCTCCTATCACCTACCTGGCCTATGAGCAATGTTTGACAAAGCTGAGCACTGCACTCTCCTTGAGAAACTGGGATACAACACTCTAAGTCTTCCTGCACCCCACCAGTTGTTCCGACTCCGTCTCCTGCACCTCTTAAACTGGAGCGGCTCAAAGCTCAATCCTGGGAACTCCTCCGTTTTCCATCTGCACACCCTCATTTCCATCTCTCATCCAGTATTCTGGTCCCACGATAACTAAAATTCAGGAATCCTTGTAACTAGGTTCCTCCATCTTCTTGCCAGCCCCCACACTCATATGCGAATAGGCTAAAGAACCGATCTTGGGTAGGGAAAACGTGGCTGCGGCTGGAGAGGGCAACTGTAGATAATCCCTTCTTAAAAGTGAAAAAGAGCCCACGTCTCCACATCCTCAGGTCACTCTCAATCATGCTGAATCACGTTAATAAAATGAGTCCAACTAATCACTAAACTGCCAACCAACTGCCAATCACTAACTGTAAACCCAAACTAGCTAGAGAACCCAATGAGCCCCAATTGATAATTAAGCCAGAATGAACATCTGCCACTAGGTGGTGCCAAATCATAGCCACGACCAACAAATTTGGATCAGGACAGCCAGGACACCTGAACTCCAGGCTAAGCTAACCATGCAAGCTTGCCCAGTTAGTTTAGGAACTTCATGATAACCCAACCCACAGTTGACATGACTGAATTTTTCTGGTATTTATACACTGAAAACTCCTAAATTTAAAACCTCAGCACAGACTTCTTACCTGAAATCCAGACCTGCCTAATTACCCACTAATTATTGCCACTTAGAGACCCAACAGCATCTCATACTGATATGCCCAAAACCGAACTCCCTATCTTGCCTTCATCCCTGCTCTTCTGGCTCCTAAATCTGCTCCTTCTCAGTCTTCCCCCTTCCCATCCTCCCCATCACTTAACTCAAAAACCTTTCAGTCATCCCTGAGTACTATTTCTCTCACATAATATATCCAAATCCATCAACATCAACATCGCCTCTCATTAATACCTTCTACACGCACAGTCAGACTACTTGTCAATGCCCTGATCTGTGTTCTGGATTACTGCAATCATCTGCACACTGAGCTTCCTGATTCGGCCTTTGCTCCTTTTAATCTGAACAGAGGAGCCACAGTGGTTCTATACAACTGTAACTGAGATCCTGACACTCTTTTCTGCTCAAAACCCTTTAGCAGTTCCTCACCTCACTGAGAATTAAAACCACAATCTTTAGGTTTTTTTAAAAGATTCTATTTATTTTTTGAGAGGGCGCACCCGTGCATGAGAGAAAGAGAGAGCACGAAGGGGGGGGGGGGTGAGAGGGAGAGGAGGGGCGGACAGAGGGAGAGGGAGAAGCAGTCTCCCAGGACCCCAGGATCACGACCTGAGCCGAAGGCACCCAAAACCACAATCTCTAAAATGGTTTACAGGACTACAGAATATGTCCCCTCACTTCCTTCACATCAACCACACTATTTCTCAAACCTGACAGGTATGCTGTTACTTTAAGACTTTTGCTAATGCTGTTAGAGAGCCCCTTCCCCCTGAATATCCTGAGAGCTCACTCCTTCCCCACCTTCAGGTCTTTGCTTTCAGCAAGGCTTTCTTCCGTTGTCCACTCCTTTAAACTTAAACCCCCCCAGGCCCCACCATTCCTTATCACCAGTCCCTACTACTGCATATTTATTTGATTTATACTAGTATGATTCCATACTTGTACTATGGAAGCCACATAAGGGTAGAATTTTTTGTCTGTTTGTTCACTAATTTATTTCCAGTACTTCGAATGGTGCTCAGAGCACATAATAAGTACTACATAATATCTGTTAAATGTTATCTATGTGTGTTATTTGTTAAATGTTACATTAAAATGATAGAAGTTACAAAACTATCTAAAAGTGGTGTAGGGGCGCCTGGGTGGCTCAGTCGTTAAGCATCTGCCTTCGGCTCAGGTCATGATCCCAGAGTCCTGGGATCGAGCCCCACGCCCCACATCAGACTCCCTGCTCGGCGGGAAGCCTGCTTCTCCCTCTCCCACTCCCCCTGCTTGTGTTCCCTCTCTCACTCTCTCTCTCTCTCTGTCAAATAAATAAATAAATAAATAAAATATTTAAAAGTGGTGTAACTGCATAGCAATTAAAAGCATGATTCAAAACTAGATTTCAATTACAGAACTGCCACTTTGTAGCTATGTGACTTTGGGCAAGGTTCTTACAACTTCTAAGCCATGATATGTTCATCTACGATGTGAGAATCGTATTATTAATATCAAATGCTTACAGTGAAGATTAACTGTGTGAATGCTTATAAAATGCTTAAAAGAAAACCTACACCAGCGGTTGACAAATTAACACCCATGGAGCCAAACTGGCCCTCTGCCTGCTTTTGAATAAGATTTTAGTGTAACACAACCATGCTCACTCATTTACGTGCTGTTTATGGCTCCTTGTACTCTACAATGGCAGTTGAATAGTTCCAAGAGAGACCATACGGCCTACAAAGCTATCTGACCATTCATAGAAAAAGTTTGCTGACCCCTAGCCTACATAATAGTGTGTGCTCAGTGAGTGTTGGACATCACTATCTATGTCAATATGTATCTGTAGGGGAGGTTTGTGTGCATATAATTCCCAACCCAACAGACTACAAAATTCTTGCTTATGCATGGTACTTTCCAGATATAAAATAAAGAAATAGGACCCTAAATGCAGTGGCACTAGCCCCTCTAAGATCATTACCTAATTTCTGACATTCTAATGATACATATCACAGAAAAAGATGCTGTAATTCTCAAACTGATCAATTCACCTTAATCTTTTATAAGAAAATAGTTTCTATATTATACAGTATGTTTGGAAGTTTTTTAGGGGGGAGGGGTATATTGGCAGGGGTAGTCCACAAAAGCAAATAAATGATGCAGTACTGCAATTCCAAAAAGCAGTTATAGCACGATAAACTTATATTCCAAGTACCAGGAACAAAACATGCTTATAAGAATTGACCTAGGTAAAATATTAAATAGGAAAATGTCATAATTTAGAAATCTATTTGTAACTTCATAAATAAATTTCCTGTACTTAATTGTGAAACTTATCAGTCTGCCTGCCTTCCAAAAACAGGTTACAAAACAGGTTAGAAATAGGGAAACAGGTTTCTGTCTCACTGATTATGTAAATTGGGATAATCTCTATTTGAAAATGGGATAACATATCCATCCTTTCATGTTTGAAAATTAAAAACGAAACATAAAAATGTGGCATTCTTAAAAAAAAACAAAAACAAAAAACCAACTCCATTAAATCCAAATTACTCATTTATAATAGAATTGAAAAAGGAGGGGAAAGAAAAGACATTTAAAGCCCAAATTTCTATTAAAAATCTGCTATAGGAGGCACCGTGCTGGAAGCAGACATAGTTTCTCTATAAGTCCAACAGCAAGTTAGTTCTCTACTAAAACGTATTGTTGGGTAAGATATGGAGCAACTGACATTGAGAGGTCACACTGGATGGAAAGTAACAGTCTTACATACCAAAGTACTAAACTAGGCAAGATGCTATGACCCACTATGGACTAGCAGATTATCTCCCATCTCATACTCACTCCAGGGCACAGGCTCACAAATTTTTCTCCACGTCTACTTAGCAGACCATGTGTAATTGAATTCCAGAAAGCTAAAAGTACTTATAACACTGTTTTATTATTATCCTAGTTAATAATTTTATTTTAATGTTTCTTAAAAATATCATATTAAATTATTATAAACTTCTGCCAAAATGTGAGCAGCATATTCTACAAACTCACCCTGGCCACCAGAATATACAACGTCAGTGTGAAGTATAATGTTCTTACCTTGTTCTTCACTTCCTTCCTTACAAAGACTAGAGCTCTGGCCCAGACTTAAACTGATATCATCAGAAGTCTTAGCAGTGTCTGTATCTCCTACAAAGTTAAGAGAAACATGTGAACACATTATATTAAAAGTAAAGGCTGTACAATGTAGCATAACAAGAAAGGCTATCGACTACACTAATTTACTATACACTATACTAGCATACGATGTCTACTAGAGCAGCTTTTATAAACCACGGGTTACAATAATGGGTGATGCACTGAACTAACAGGAAGCATCATGGACTATGAGAACACATCTTTATTCTCACAGCACTATAAACCAAATTACAGAAAGCTTCACCCTGTTAACTAATAAAACTTTCTTTAAAAAGAAGCACTTTTTAAAAAGAAATGGAAATTATGTAGTAACAACTTGAAACAATATAAATTTCCTTCCCAGGGAAAATTATAAAAATTCCCCTAAAAAAGTATAGGGTAAAAAAGTTTATCTTAAATAGATGCATGTAAAAGGCACATATAAGACATAGAGAAAAACACTCTCCTTCTTTTTTTACTGTCTTATTTGCACCCAATTTGAAGGTTTCAAATTACTCAGTTTTCCACAAACCTCACCAAAACCCATGAAAGTATTTTCCTTCAAGGCAAGGAAGTTTCTTACATATCAAAACTTATAATTCATGCAATGTAATGCAAATGTTCAAATATGTTTGTGAGATTTGGATGGTGAAAGGAGAATCCAATTTAAATCAAGTAACCTTTAACATAAGATACATAACTGCATCTACAAAGTAATTTCAAGAATGATTTCTCATTATGTGTGAATATATAGTACTCAGTTATCTTTATTACATCAAAAATGAAATGGAAAGTCATAGGCAACTTCCAACTTAGATAATGTCTACCTTTAATAGTTGCTGCTGTCCCAAGACGAGAGGAACCAGATCCAATCTGAAAACACATGAAGTAAAACTAATTAAATGCTATGTCATGATCAATATAGACTAGCAAGATCATCAAGCAAAACGGTATTATCAAAACATGCTATCAGTCACTTGTATTAAAGGATACCCGCTGGGCATGTTGTATCAGAGCCACAGAACCTTTTTGCTGCGGCACATTCTGCGTGTACGGTACAGACGCGCTAGGGCACGGAATCCCTCTGCATGCTCGGGACTGATGGAGCCCACAGAGCAGGATGCCTCCAACATCAAGCACTCCATGTCATACAATTACTATCATTTTTTATACTGTGTCATGACATGTTCATATTATAAATAAAAGCAAAACTGGGTGTTAAGTCTATCTGAAACAAATTTAGACTTATCAGGGCATATAAAAGGAAGGCTTGGGACCACACATTAATATATGCTACAAAGAGCAACCTAAATCTTACTGTCAAACTGTTAGTGTATCAGTACGTACTTTCCTGAGTTCTAGACAAAAAGTAAGTACTTCTTTGTAGACTGCTATAACATATTTAAAAACAACAAAAAACTAAGGGATCCACGTAAAATGACTGCTTAGCACTAACTATAAACAGAAAACTAAAACCTATCGAGCTTTTAATGCTTATATTCCAGATTATGTAATACTCCCTGAAATCTTAGCCATCATTCATTATACTACCATAAAAATTATATAAACAAATACCACATATTCCACAATTAAGGAAATCAAACATAGCAATATGAAAGTTACTAAATCCACAAGTCTTAGTAACTTTCTATACCTGTTTTCAAGATATTTAAGAAGAACACAGTCAAGCAAATTTAATATTTTAGAATAAAATTAAGAATATTCATATAATACTTTGTGTTTTACCAAATCTTTCTTTTTTTTTAAGATTTCATTTTTTGGGGTGCCTGGGTGGCTCAGTTGGTTGGGTGTCTGCCTTTGGCTCAGGCCATGATCTCAGGGTCCTGGGATTGAGCTCCTTGTCAGGCTCCTTGCTCATCAGGGAGTCTGCTTCTCCCTCTTCCTCTGTCTACTGCTCTGCCTACTTGTGCTCTCTGTCAAATAAATAAATAAAATCTTAAAAAAAAGATGTCATTTTTTTTTAAGTAATCTCTACAACCAACTGGGGCTCCAACTCACAACCCCGAGATCAAGAGTTACACATGCTCTCCTGACTGAGCCAGCCAGGCAGCCCCCAAATCTTTCCTTTCATTGATTCAACTGATAGGAGTATACAATAAAATTTGCTCAAAATATTAAGTTAATATTGAGTCTGAAGGGGCATGAGGAACTTTCTCGATTTCGATGGCAATTAAGGGGTATATACATATGTAAAAACCCACTGTGCTGTACACTTAAGAAGTGTATACTATGTTGTGTAATAGTTATATGTCAGTGAAAAAGTGAGTAAAAATAAGCACATACAAACAGGTTAGAACTGCTACCTTTTGATGTGGCCAAAAAAAAAAAAGTTTTGCAACATTTTTGAACAATTTATTAAGCCTGATGCTCCTGATTTTTCCTAATTTCTGCTTTCAATTAGCCATAAAAGGCATTGCAACTAGACAGAAAAAGGTCAACAAGCATTTTACTGCAAAATAAAATTTCATGCTTATCACACCTGCTAGACAAGTTATAGAATTAACATATGCTATTTCTCAACTAGAATAATACACATAACTTCCTAGACAAAAAAAAACAAGTAAGCAAACAAATAAAAATACCCACTTTTTATGCACATCCTTCTAGAAATTTAAACTTAAAAAACAACTTTTGAATACCGGTATAGCAGTCATTTGCCTGCAACCGCAAAGTGTTCCCTTTTCTTTCCTTAACAAGTTTCCCACTCTGTTCAGATGTTGGGCGTGTATCTTTTGATCTATGAGAAGTGGGCCCTGGTTGTGGTCAATGATCATGTGTCTGCTGGAGGGCTTCAGGGAAAGATCTTTGCATGCCTCAGGAGACGACAAGCAAGGACAACTCTGCCCACATGGCTGCCTGCCTCTTACCTTGCATCAGGGTCAGGATTGAGGCCGCTGTGCTCACTGTGCAATCCTGAGGGACAAGCCAACCCAAGCCCTAACATGACTGAGCTGCTGAACAAATGCCTCCCATCCACCTCCAGTCTTGGAGGACACACATAAACTCTCATTTCTTCAAGTCACTTAATTAGTTGAGTTCTATTACTTGCTGACAAAAGCATTCTTTTTTTTTTTTAATATTTTATTGTTATGTTAACCACCATATATTACATCATTAGTTTTTGATGCAGTGTTCCATGATTCATTGTTTGTGCATAACACCCAGTGCTCCACGCAGAATGTGCCCTCTTTAAT